TTATAATTATTATATATATATACTTTCCGCCGTCTAGCGCAACGCTACGGAGAGTTTAGGCGAGCTATCGTCTGTACAGTATGTAAATTAGGTACCGTAAGTCTAATACAGTACTGTAATTTTATACATTTCTTGTGAAAGAAACATTTCTTATTCAACGGCGATTAAAATTATTTATATTAATGATGTCTCCAAAGTTCAACGAAGTTTTCGCAGAAAAATAACATCAGAAATCGCAGCCGCGGTTTGCTGCGCTGTTCCGCGACGAAAACAAGCTTGAGCAACGGCGATGTCGAATGGTGCACACTCGGTAAGTAATCCTACAATTTTTTGTTTATAGCGTAGTTTATACAGATTATACCCCAAAAAAATATACGTATTTTGGAAATGTTGAATCGGATTAATCTAGAATCGATTAATTTTATGAAAGAAAACCTTTCAAAAAGCCGTAGTCCGTAAACTTCACACGTGTCGGGCTGTAATTGGCAAGGACTCGTAAGAAATCGATTCATAAAGAATGGAACGTATCTACCGTCTTATAGAGGGGTCGACTGTATAATAAATCCACCACCTTGGCACTTTTGGTTCTGTAAGCAATAGTGTCTTTGTACAAACACTCATGCTATACAGAGCATTAGTAATGCAGGAGTTACTACTCAATGTGATCTCAATTTTGAAAGTGATATACTGTATCCAATAATTATAAAGCCCAAAATTTAAAATTAATTTCAGACAATGAAAGTTTCTCAATTTGAAAATTAAATCTGTCTATAGTTAGACCATTTCAGATTCTTAGTTTTTATTTGTATCAAAAAATTAAATAATATTTTTGTAGAATCATAGTCTGACTTAATTCTTAATTTTAATTAATATATTATGCTTTCCATTTTTGCAAATAAAGTATGATTTAAACAGAAATATTGAGAGTAAACAAAATGCATATATTTCCTCAATTAGGTAATAATTACTTCAGCAGACAGGTGCTAATATTCATTTTAAATCACCTTTCTTATATGTGTCATATTTTTTCTTATTGATTTTTTTTTAACAACATACATAGTAAATTATATAAATTTTCCATTTGTATTATCATTATTCAGATAATTTTAACATAATTTGTTAACAAAAATATTTTAACTCCAAAATGAAGAAAATAAACAGAAAAATGTTTTTGTGGAGTAATAAGTGTAAAAAACATCTATTTATAATTTGTTAAATCAAATTATAGTATAATTAAATAAATATTTTCAAAACTCACCTGAGAAAATGTTAGATCCGATTTTGGAACTAAATATAAGAATCCTTGGTAAACACAATATACACAGAGAAGAAGTAAAGGTGTTACTTGAAACCAGACAGCCAATCTTCTGATTAATAAAGACCATGATGCATAATTTTCCACAGGTTCTGACCAAGGAAATTTTGCTTCAAATTCACTAGAACGTAGGAATGTAATGAATAATACCTGTAATGATTTTTTAAAATTGTAAATGTTTTCTAATGCGATATATATATGTTATATGTTATAAAATAAACTTACCAGAAAGGAAACTGGTAAGATGACATTCCACTGAAAAGTAAGGGCTGGTAAAATCCAACCTTTAATTGGTGTTTGTTGAGAAAGCATTAAAATAATTTTATCTGTTCCATATTTTTGTCCTATAACATAAATAATTTAAAAATAAATTATAAAAAACAATAGAATATTCATTTTTATAATAATAAATTAAATATGAAATTTATAATATAAAAATTAAAATATAGTGGAACCTCGCTTAACGAGCACCTCTCATAACAAGCAAAATAAATTGTAAAAAATTACTTACTTAATAAGCAACATTTCGCATAACAAATGATGAAAAAAAGGGAAGTCCCGGATTGTGCGCATGCTAAATCAATCTGTGTTTAGCACTCGTTCCACTAGCATCTTAGTTTTGTTTGTGATCACACATTTTTCCAAACTTATGTTCAGACATATTACATATAAACAACCACCACCATAGCCCATTATATAATAAACACACCAAATGATATGCCAAATTCTTGGACTATGTAAAGGCTATAATTAAATATTAGAAATTACTGCATTTTGATTTTTTTGTTTTCTGCAAATCAAATTCACATTCCAGGTTGGTTCATTCTGCGCTAGAAGAAAAAATGGATGATTCACACTCCTTAATGTATATTGTATAATTTTTTTTGAATATACATTATACATAAAATATTTGAATATTTTTTTTTGGCATAGAACACATTATTGCATCGTGTAACGAGTAAGATTCTGGAATGAATTATGCTTGTTAAGCGAGGTTCCACTGTATAAAGAAATTTACAAAAATACATAAAATATATCAAATATTTAAAACACTACTTTTAATATGATGATAATTAGTGTTTAACAATTTGAATTATTTAAGACAAATTTAGACTTAATAACAATAATGAATATTCATTGCTTTATGTCAATACTATGGGTCCTTAAGTCTCACTTATGGACCCAGACTAAGCTTTGGGCACTGTTTCTACAAAACAGTATAAAAATTTTTTAATCACATAAAAAAAATATTAAGGTAAGTCAGAGGAAGAGACCATATCTAAGGAATGTCATATTATTTGGAAACTGTCATTAACTTTTGAAAATTTTACAGAATAATTGTGAGACATTTGTTTAACTACTTCATCAGAAAAATATCAGATCTTTACTGGAAAATAACAAGCAACTGAAATATCCTATCTTTTGTAAGTGGCATTTTTCCTAGACAAATAGGGACTATATTGGATTAAAGTCAAGACATACATTATTATTATATTACTACTTAACTATAATATTCATTTAATTAATCAGAATTAATTAATTAATGTTTGTAAGGAATTATATACCAGTGATTAGATTTAAATCATTAATTTTTATAAATTTTTATAAATTCCAAATCATAGAATAAAAATAAAATGTAAAATTTAATTTGAACAAGAATAATTCACCATAATAATTTTTGTAACGATAAACTATATACACAGTATTATGTTTTTATACTATTTTGCAATTAATTGTAATTTCAATAACAGTAAAATTTTAGTGTATATATAACTAAAATATTACTAAAATATATATACACATTAGCAAAATTCTAAATATTAATTTTTATAAATTAGATATTTAAATTTTTAGAATAGAAAATGCTTTTCAATAAAGATATGCTATTAATAATAATAATATTTATTAAATTTTTTAAAAAATTATCTAACTAATGTAATGTTATTACATTATTTATTAATTACGTATAATATTCTACATACTATTTATGTGTCATCTAACTTTAAACAAAATATTCTCTTCTGAATTATGTATACAGATTTGATAAAATTTATAAATTATAGATGATTGAAAATTTTAGCTTTAACTAATTCATAAGTTAACTGGAATCATTTATTCTTTATTTCTATATAGGCACTGAGCATGCAAAAGTTTATCTCTGCCTTAAATTTGAAGCAAAAAACTTAGTATGTCCAATTTAATAAAATCAAATATTCAAATATTAATAAAAATTTGCACTAAATAAACAATAAGTTGGTAATATTTCTTGAGAATTTCTAAGCTATTTAATTAATAATATTGGTACTGATATTAAAATTTCTCTAAAATTATTTTTAAATAAAAACAAAGAATCTATTTATTAAATAATTTTGTATTTTTATCATTTAGGAATATTAAAGCCAATATGTTTTTAAATTTAAGAAATTCATAATTTACCTCTAACAAATAAGACTGCGACCATCATTGACATATATAATGCTATAATCCACCATAAAGCTCCCATGCAAAAGTCCATGAAAAATACTATATAAATACCAATCTGAAATAAGAAAATTTCATTAATATTTATGTAATTATTGAATTATTAAAACTATGCTATAATTATTTTAATATTAAATTTTGTATAATTCAAATTATTTCCAGTTATGGATAATTTCACCCAAAAACAAAACATTTTCCTTATTTATATCCAGGAAATATGCTTTATATTCATATCTTAAATATAAAGATTAATAAAATTTCCAATAACATATTACATTTTACTTTTATATATTTGTACCACAGTCATATATTTTTTTTTTTATCTGATTCAGAATCTGTGTATCATCAATATATATTTTGAATTTAAACTCATCAATATTACCTTACTTATTGACCTCAATGGTGAATAATTTATCTACATATTGTTTATTTCTAATAGTACATAATCAAAATTATAAATGACTACAAAACCTATAAATTTTTGTTTGCCTCATGATGTCTGTTTAACACAGGTGAAAACATTTGCACTTGTTTTAAAAATTGCTGGTTTAAAGGTTTTGGGGTTGTTTTTAATTCTAATTTAACCAATTGTAAAGTAGCAGTTAATGTATATAATCAAATTTCAGACTTTTAAAGTCTAATCAAACTACGAAATTAAAAATGCAAAATTGTTAACTTAAGATTATTTAAAATAATGCTATTTAAAATGTTGATAAAAGTTACAACAAACAATTCTATTTTTAAATTTATTAAATTATATTCCTATATTTAATATCATAAATTTTGTATAATTATATTATTATTTGATTTATTTAATTTTTAGAATATCTGAAGAATTACATTTCTACAATGGTTACAATTTCTACAAATATTCTATTGATTAAAATTTGGAGTTATTAAATAACAAGACTGAAATAAGATTTCTTGTTGTTAGGATTAAGGAGTAATCCCATAGGTAAATTCTAACTGTTAGGTAAATTTAAAATTTTGTAGTAAAAACAAACATTTTGAAAGTCAAATGTGAATAAAAAAAATCATAAAACAAGAAAAAAAATCAAAAAGATTCAATGCAACAAATTTTTAGTTTGGAATACTGGAATCAAATGATTGGAATTTTATACCATTCGTTTTAGAGACAAAGGGGAAGATATTTTTCTTTTGATAGAAGTTTTGTCAAGGCATAATGGAATGGTCAGAAATACAAATCAGTGTAAAGCTACAGTTTAAATCTATAAGCTGAACATTCCAATCAGCCAGAATAAGCATAAATTTTTGTTTTGAGATAAAACTATAGTATGCTTTGTATGTGTACATTACTAAAATGCGCATTATTGCAGACTGCACTTCTTCATTTAGTCTTGAAATTTTCCCTCACAAATCTTATTTCAATTTTGAGAACAAATAATAATCACTTGAGGCCAGATCATAGCTGTAAGGTAGATGATCTAGCTTGTTGAAGCCACCTTCTTAATAAATGCCATCACAATTGATGTCTGCACTGGTTCATTGTTGTAAAATTACATCACACTGCAAGAGCTTGTCATGTTATTTTTCTTTAATGGCATCCCTCACTGTCTCTGGTGATGGTGGCAGTATTTTCTTTGGAATCAATAAGAAGGATCCCATCAGAATCCAAAAAAATTGTGACCATAAAAATTTTTTAGATTGTATCACTTTTGCTTTTTTTGGGCCTTGGAGAACCAACATTATGCTATTCCTTCAATTCTTTAACAGATTATGGTAATGATGTTAGATTTGATGTTGCTTGTCGGAGATTAGTAAAAACTGGTTAAACTCACATAACTGGTCATGTAACAAAAAAACAAAGAATACACAAAGATTACACTGTCTTGACTCATGGAAGGTCAGCGCTGAGAAGGGGAGAGTGAAACAAGGTCACTGTCTCTTATAGCCCCAGGAGGCAACAACACCACCAACCTTTTATTACCTAACAGGAAAACATTTACAAAACATCACTGTGACACAATGTGTTGTACGTAACGATGTCATATAGCATTTAACAATAATTTCAATCATTGATTCCAACAAAAGAACCATAGTTTCATCCCCAGTAACAATTGATTCAATGACTTTTTCTCTTGACTTTCACAAAAGAATAAAAATTCTCCACATCTGATATGCTATTTGTTTTAAACTAATGAAAAATTTTGGTACTCATCTTGCAATAACCATATTCATAACAAGATGTTTGTATAGAATCCACATCACTGTGATTTTTGATACAGATTATCTTGCTGCTAATTCCTTGGTCTTTAGCTGTCTTCCAAAACCTCTTTCTTCTCAATATTGATGTTTTCTTCAGTAACCACTTTGGTAGATCTTGATATAATAAGTTTGCACTTCACGCCGACGTATACTATTATTAGAACACTTACGTGCAGTGGCGTTACAGGAGTGGAGTTCCGGATACGGAAATTTATCCGACTTTTGGAGAAAGGTTTTATCCGCTAGCACTTTCAGTAGTGTAAAACTACCATCATCAGGCGGTACATAGAATTCGATAGTTTAGGCTTTCCGAACGATATTCTGGCAGTTTTTTTAAATTTCAATATCTTGAAATTTAAAAAACCATCAGAATATTGTTCGGAAAGCTTAAACTATCAAATTCTATATACCGCCTGATGATGGTAGTTTTACACTACTGAAAGTGCTAGCGGATAAAACCTTTCTCCAAAAGTCGGATAAATTTCCGTATCCGGAACGCCACTCCTGTAATGCCACTGCATGTAAGTGTTCTAATAATTGGTAGATCTTCCTTGATATAGAACAGGTGTGTCAAACTCATTTAAACAACGGACCATTAATGCAACTGGTAAGATTCATTTGGACCACTTCACATTTACAAATTTTTTTAAAATTATAATTTGAAGTGAGAATGCAGGAATATAGATAGGGCAATTAAAACACATTATGTAGTTCAGTGAATTCAACTTAACAATATATAATTGCTGTAGTATTGCTTTTATTTAAACATTTATTTTATTTAAGGTATATATTTATAAAACTAAAGTTAACTGTTTTCACCAGAAACTTGCTAGTACTATCTTCCTCCTCCTAGTTTTCCAATATATGGATTGAAAGACTGAGAACAATCTCCATTATGGCAAATAGATGTTTATCAGTTAATCTTAATCTGTAAGCTGTTTTATTTGATCTGAAAGCATCGTGGCTGCAGGCCATTAAAAATCACATTGGGGGGGCCACATGAAAAAATCACATCGGCAGCTAAATTTATTACAGGTATAAGTAGAAAATAATTCAAAAATTTTTAGACAGTAAACAGCATTTTATTAAAAAAACAATATTTTGTTTTATATTTACTCATTATGTTCTAAATTGCTTTTTGTAATCTGAAAATGGTTAATATTATAGTTGTAAATGCTTATTTCTTCTTATTTTACATAATAAAATGCCAGATGCCTACATTTTTGAATCCCCTATTTATAAAATTCAGTAGTGTTAAGTGTTTATTAGAAAATTAGCTAGATTATCCAAAAATTATAAACAAACAACCATTAGATTTTCTAAGAAAAATACAATAATAATTATTATTACATAAAACATATACTCACATTAGAAGTAATTGGTAAACCTAATAAAAATGCAATATTGCACATGATGAACGTTATTGTAGACTGCCATGATTTTAATAATTTATATTTCATAGAAATAAATGATTCAACAACACAGCTCCACAACACAATCTAGAAAATAAAAAATTGGAATAGTAATAAACTTAAGAATTATATTTTATATTTTGTAAATAGTTGAAATTTTAATTTTAATATTTTTAAAAAAGAAAAAAGCCAACCAACATTTTGGAATTATTCCTTAACAGTGAAAGTTCATTAATACAACACTTACAGGACCATAATAATGTCAAATTACCAGACATTTTTGTATTTTTGCAAAATTTGATAAGTTATATACAATCTAAATGTTGCAGATATTGTTGTACATTGTGTACTAGTGCATACTGCTGCAAGCTTTTTATTTGTTTACACATGCTCTTTAATAAGTCATGAAGTGATATGGTCATGACTAAACTTAGTTAAGATTGATTGAAAAACCTGCAAAAATGTTAATAACACATTATTGCTGGGATATCTAGTGCAAAACATTTTGTGCAGTCCAAACAAATTCCAATTCAAGGAATACTACCAGTAGTGTGCCGTCTTTGGGGAAGCGGCACTTCCACTGCTTTCCTTGTATTTTTTAAAATATAAATACATATTGCGTGATTATTTTCATATTTTAACATATTTTGAATTAATTAAAATTAATGTTTTATTATAACCACATTATGTATCTTATTACAAATTTCTATACTACATGTGAAAAAAACAATAATATTGCTATTATATTTTCAAATATCAGTGGCGGAATGAATGAATAAATCATGAGTAGATTTATAACTTAAGCCACCGATAGAAGTTTACTGATATGTTTTTATGATAGTTCTGTATAGTTGACAAGAGTTTTAAAAAAATCCATTAAAATATTTGATATATTTATTCTGCTTTTATTCTGCACTCCCATCTTGTATTACTTACAGATTTCAATGTTAAACTAGTGATATTACAATTTAGTATGGGCCATCTATAAGGGGATACAAGAAAAAACATGTACAATTCTTGTACAATGTTAAAAAAATGAACTGTTACTTTGGTAACATCATTTACAACTAAATGTAATGAATGAGATGCACAAGATACAAAAACCGCTATAATTTATTTTCCTTAAATTTACAATTTATATATTCATTGTCATGAAAATTTGTCTTTCTACTACTTTCCCAAGACTACAAATATTCAAGTACAAAGTAACCAGTTTTGACTTATTTCTACTTAAGTAGTAGTTAAATAATTAAGAGATTAGGGAATTAGGGACGTAAATAAAACCTTGCTGAAAGAGCCGAAATTTTACTTAAAAGCTTAACTGAACCAATCTCTAGCCGAGTACAGTGGGGACTGATTTCTTCATAATATTAGATAATAAAGACAGAAATTTTTCCAGTTTAATGAGAGTGACCAAAAAGTTGTAAATTTTGGAAATTTCCGTGGACACCTGGTCCTAAAACGAATTAGTTAGAAAACAAATGATGGACAATCTATTAAGTTTAACATATTTAGATTTTTACAGCTATAGTGAGAAACATTTAAAATTTACAAGGACCCTGTCGCGTCTTTTGAGGTATACTAGTGATGCGACAAAAGAGGTATTTGACATTGACCAGTATTGGCACCCTGGGGATTTGGCAGCCCATGTGATGCATGCAATGCACACCTACCAGAACTGTCTCTGATTTCATCTATTAGCTACTCGTAGGGAGCTATTTAACTAAGTGAATTGTTTTAAGATTTAAAAAGTAAAGAATATTTTATGTTATTTTTATGTACGTTTCTTTACAAAGCTATATTTAATTATAATTTTCTTTAAAAGTATATTCATACAATTGAAGAATATTTTGTACCAGGTATGTACTGTACATCCATCACACATTTTATTTCACCAAGTAAATTTTTATTATTTTATTTTTAATTGTAGCCCTTATATCATGGCTAGCGATTCAGAATGTAATTGTGATATTAAAAATACATTTAGAGAAGTCTACAGTTTTTACTGGCTTAATGAATAAACAAATACGAATGGACTCTAGACCATCTCTGACGCACAATTAACTGATTGCCCCTGGAAGTCGGTTTCTTACAGAAACACAGCTTCCCTATCATCAAATGTCACGACACACCACTGAATACTACCATGCTGAATTATTATTAGATTAGTTGGATTATTGGTCATTTTTCAGAGGGTTCCAGACTACTAATGTGAGTTCTCAAAAACAGTATATTTTATTTCCAATAATGACAACAGAGAGGAATGATACAAAATTTTTAATAAGTTGAATAAATTATAAAGTCTGTCCCAGGCTGATGTCCTCTGAAATTATAATTCAAAAGGAAACCCAAGAACATCTTATAGAAAAAGGATAGTACCATAACTATCTTGATCAGATAACTATGAAATCTGGCAATATATATAATCTTAAATTTGTGGATAAAAAAAAACTAATGCAAGAAGAATCCTGTATATGCCAAATTTATTGCAATCCATGTGATATTTACAATATTAATGTTTACAATATTTACAATATTGTAAATTGTTATATTTACAAATATTTACAATACAGTAGAGCGTCGATTTTCCGAAAGTCAATCATCCGAAAGAATTCCAGTCCGCAAATTTAAATTTTCGCCAATGCTGTGGCGCTTCAATCCTTGGCTACGTCTTGGGCTACTCAAATATTTTACGTTTTTGATACTAAATTAACATCTGAAGTATAATTTTTTATTATTTTTATATTTTTCAATATATTTATTTTGTTTGTACAAAATAAAAAAATAATTTTTAACGATACAATAGTCTTTGTTAGGCTTAACATCGACGAAAATTCAACGCGAAGCGACACGCAACGGAGAAAAATTTCGACATCGGATACGTTAAACTATTTTTTCGTACGTTAATCAGTTATCCGAAATTTCGGTTATCCGGACAACCCCAGTCCCCAATTGATTCAGAAAATCGACGCTCTACTGTATTTACAATATTAATGTTTTCACACAGCTTACATATGAATGAAACCTGAGCAACAATAAACTCAAAACCAATTGGTTAGTAAAAGAAGAATTACAGGTAACCCCCATATAACATGGGAGTTACGTTCCAAAAAATTGCAGTGTTATGTGAATCAGTGTTATACAAAACAAAGAACTAGTGCGAAAAGGGGGTTAGGTTCCAAAAATTAAAAAACATGCTGTTAAATCCTTATTTAAATCAGATTTATTATTCATTTTTTTCATAGGTAAAATACTTACTTTTTATTTAAGTAAATATTTTACCAGAGGATTATTCATCCTATATGATGATCTCAGCATGAGCATCAACTGGTAACAGTTTTTGGGTGTGTTCATTAACAGCAGTCGCTCTGCAACAGGAGTGCACCCGCTGTTTGTAGGCATTTAGGAACGACAATGAAAGAAAGATAGCTGCGCCCGTACTATTGATAATATCGTAATGGAGGAATCAATAACTCTAAAATGAGCTTTTAGTTGCAAAAGAAGGGTCCTAATTGTAAAATTTAACCATTAAATGAATTATTTGTTTGAAAGAGCATTCAAAGTAGCCACAAAAACAATTAGAATGCTCGCAGAGTTATGCGGAGATATAAAAGAATGCACCCTTTATTACAATTCATGTTGTATGAGGGTTTTACCCAATTCCTGAACCATGTTAAAGTGAACCCGTGCTATAAAAGCATCATGTTATACAGGTATGTTCCCAATTCTTGAACTATGTTAGAGTGAATCCGTGCTATAGAAGTGCCGTGTTATACAGAGGTTACCTGTATATAGTAAAGAAATTCCAAACAAGTCGGGTAGGCTGCACCATACAATGACCAATTATCAATAATATCCATGGAAAGTTAATAAGAAAGTTTAGAAAAATTTGACTTATACACCATTCCTCAGTTGGGTCTAGAAGGATTTTTGATATGAAACTGTTTAGGGGTTTAGTAACCCTTAACATACATACAGGTCTTCTCTGTCTTTGAAAAAATTCCATTTTATATAAAAAAGTTCAGTCACAAGTACAGGGCTTCTCAATAGAAAAACACTTCCATAAAATTTATTTTTAATTGTCTACTTAGACATTACTCATTAATAGGACTTTATACTGGTGTTTAAAAATTGACACAACAATGAGAGTTAGTTCAGAAAGAACAAATTTTCTCTATTAAATCACCTGTAGTAGTAACTTTTTCTGTTAGTTACTACTACAGAAAAAGTCCTATTAATGAGTAATGTCTAAGTAGACAATTAAAAATAAGGACTGTAAGGCAGTTATAATCACTTCCATAAAAGTTATTTCCAGATATTGACTCTACAATATGAGCTCATGATGAAATATTAAGAACCAAACAGGGTAAGTACTTTCTGGAAAAGGTATTGTTTAGAATTCTTAAACAGGAAATAAAAGTAAATGGCAGTGAAGAGAAAAATGAAATGCTACAGTTAAATATGAAAAAAATTATAATTATAATCAGTAAAATATATTAAAAAAATATGACAGCCACATCAAAATTCTGAATTATCAGGTGCCAGATTAATGAACTTCTACTATAATGAGAAAAAATTATGTTTATATGTTGTTATAAGAATTAGATTTAAAAAACTTATAATAATAATAATATTAATCTCTTACCAAGTACAGTACTACTTGATAAATACATATATTTTTAATATATGACATTATCAAACTTTATATAGAAAATTAAACAATCAAGTAAAAAATTTATTAGATATTTTTACTTAATATAATATGTTAGTAATGTATGTTGTTTTACATATGAATAATTAATATCTGAAAAGCAAAGATAATTGGATAGTGGAATATCAGTCAAAATAAGAACAATCTCTGATATGCTGATGATATGACATTATTGATATCATGAGACAGAAATGGCAGTTCTTTTACAGTGTGTTGAGACAAAAAGTGCTCTCACTGGCCTCAAGCTCAACCATTCTAAATGCCATGATGATGATTTTTCCAAAAAGATATTTGTTTACCAAAGTTTTCCTTATCAGTTGTATTCCTTTTAAAAAACCACGAAGTAATATACCTAGAATCATTAATTTATAATGATAAAAGTTGTGCAAGAGAAATAAAGAGAAAAATAGGAATTGAAAAACCTTCTATGAGAAAATTAAAAAAAAAAATCTTTGGAAAGACAGACATATTACAAACATAGAAAAATGAAATTAGTAAAAATCTTTAATCATTCCAATAGCAAAATATGAATCAGATACTTGGAAAATAAATGCTCCATGTAAGAAATGTATTAAAGCTTTTAAAATGACATGCTTAAAAATACTTCAAATTCCAAGGACAATATGAAATACAGTAGAACATCGATTATCCGACCCCCGATCAACCGTCACATCGTTTAACCAACCGCGTTCTAGTCGGCAAATTCAAATGTCCGCTAGTGATGCAGCGCAACAATATTTGGCTATGTCTTGGCTACTTTAATATTATTTTTATGTGTTTTAGCTGGCAACACTGGCTCGATCATGAAAAGGAGCCAGTATTTAAATTAGGTTTAATTTTCTAATTTTTAACGATACAATACAGACTATTATTTTAAAAAATTTTTGTTAGGCTTAACATGGATGAAAATGCAATGCAAAGTAGGTTAATAGCAATATACTAATATATACAATATACTAATTACATGGGATATACTAACATACTATACTAATAATGTATATTTTCATATTTTTCGGTTATCCGTTTTTTCAGTTATCCGACCAATCCCAGTCCCCAATTGAGTCAGATAATCGATGCTCTACTGTACTAATCTGTCCATTTTAAAAGAGTTTGATCACAGAATCAGACAAGATACTTAGGTTTCATAAAAATAACTGGAAGGAACGCTACTGCAAGGAAGGGTCAATGGCCAACAGGGAAGAAAACATTCTCATTTGAGATATATTGACCAAATTACACAGGCCAGGAAGAGAGCTGTGGATTGAGAAATGACAGAGGTCAACCTGTGACATGGCATTTGGAAACAAACATCATAATGAGTTACCAAAAATATATACCAATAAATATAATAAACAAATAATGAATAAAACTCCAATTTCTTGAAATTAATAAACTTAAATTCTTTTTCAATCTCAAGATAGGTTAAGTTCACTAACCTATCTTGAGAATCAATTTCTCAATGTAAGTTAGTGAATTCTAATAAAATAAATTTTAAGTTTATTAATTCTGTAATAAATTATTTAAAAACGCTCATTTTTAATATTTTATATATTTAAATCTACAAATTTATTACAAATTATCATATTGTACAGAATTAAAAAACTGATAGAGTTATCAATATTAAATGTGTAGTTTAATTATAAGATTTTTCAATTTGTAATTAATTTTACCTGTTGACCAAGCCCAAAAAGAATCATCATTGCATAAAAACAAATAGCCCAAAATGAAGATATTCTCTGTATTCCTTCAACTGCTAATGATGCTGGAAAAACTTCAGTAGCAAATCGAATTACTTGATAACCACTTGTAAATCTGCTTTGTTTAGGAATAATAAATCCATTTCCAACAATATAATTTATTACTGAGATATTTTGCATCTGATGTTTTATAGTTGGAAACTTTTTAAGAACTTTAACATAATCTTCACTTTCTATTTAAAAGAAACAAATTTAAAGTTACAAAAAATTATAACAATTTCTCAACTATATATATAATTAGTATTAATAAAATTAAGAAAATAAACATGCATAATTACAAATATATCTTACATATTTATCTTTATACTAATGGCATGTTTAATAATATCCTACAACTACTTTTTCCACCAATGTATTTGATAATTCTCCACTAGATAAACTGACTTGTTTGATAATGCTGGTAGATGACATTCATGGAAGAAGTGAATCCACTTCTTCCATGAATATGTCATCTACCAGCTTTATCAAACAAGTCAGTAGAAACAGTGGAAAGGTAGAGGACATGCACTTTGAAGCCTCAACACACATCAGTTATGCTTATTTTATTAATTAAAAAGGAAAACACTTATATATTCATATAATATAAATATGACTATATATATGAGTTATTAATATTTTTCTCAATATTTTAAATATATAAGATATCAAAAATATGTTTCTACCAGCAGTAAAAATATCAACAATAATATGAGATCACAAATACTTTTACCATTAGCAATGGAAAAAGTGAAAATTGTGGAGCATTATTGAACATTTCCTAAAATAGAATATAATAATGGCTTCCAACAAATTTTAATATGTGACCATCATAAACTAAGTAGTGAAAAAAAATCCATTTTCCGTCTTCTATTTAACAATTTTAAAAAGCTAATGAAAAAATAATGATGTAAAAAGCTAGGTGACATTCTCCAAAAAATATCAGAAGGCACAAGTCTTGGAAGCTGCCATCAAAAGAGAGTAAGCCAGAGAAAACTTAGACACCTGTAGTAGCCCCTACCCCTGTAAATTATTATTATTTTAACTATAAAAAATAAAATCTTTGAGACTGCTTTTTATTAATAAAAAACATTATATGCATTTCATTTGTTCCAAAAAAAACAAAAAAAAATAACAAAAGCAGCCCACTAAGGAGAAGAGGCTTAATCTACTCCTGGGCACCTACAAGCCCTGCTTGGAGGTTGTCCATAAATTACAAAACACAGGTGTTTGGGTATGCAAGTAATCATTACAATGTGTTACAAGGCGATAGGAGTGTTTTACAAAAACATTATGTAAAGCTAAGGGCAACAATGATTTTTGTTTCTGATGTATTGAATAACAAATCATACTATTTATGTCATATTCTGTGTATTATATATCCATGTTTTGTTTTTATCTGATTACTTAATTATATACAGTTTATAAATTTTTATATTTTTTTATCTTTGTACAGTAATTTGTAATTTTTTATCTTGTGTTTTAGATTTTAGTACTGTACTTTACATATATTTATTTATTGTTATCAATTGTTTATACTTTTATGGGGCATATTAATTTGAAAATAATACCAGATATTTATTAACTGCTTTTTGGAGTTTGTCACATAATATTCCAAAAGCAGTTAATAAATATTAACCAATAGTTTGATAGTAGAGTTAGTTTTTATTTCAGTAATAAAATAAAATTAATTTTAAAAATTAGGAGTTAGATCTTTACATAATATATTGTATATGAATCATAATAAAAAGATATTAATATTAAAACATCTAAAAATTATACTTACCATAAGAAGTAGGAAGAAGATTAAGTCCATTAGCAGGAAAAATATTCATAATACTTGCAAATAACAAAGATGCTATTAAAAGTATTGAAATTGAAGCAACACTTAAAATAGCTACGTTTCTGTCAAAATATATTAAAGCTGTTAATATTTGAGCAAGCAAAGGATCATAAAGAAAATTGTATAATTTATTTATATTAAATGCAGAAAAGTAAAAACAAATATTTAATTTATTTTGTTATTCTTACTTAATAAAAAATAACTTTCATTAATACATCATCTTTAGTATTCCTTACAATAAATTTAAGTAAAATCAAAATAAAAAAGATCCATATAAACCACAACTATACCCAGCAGACAACAATTAAATATGTAATCCAACACCTTATTTTTCGCTGAGAGATTATTTTTAATTAAAACAAACGTTTTCGATCCATTCATTGGTTCTAATGCGTGCAAAAATATAGGTATAAAATAGCAGCATTTCGAGCATTGGTTAGGAGGGCCTTTATATACTGTGAAAGCGTTATAGACCGGGATGCAGAGTTAGAAAGAATTATGCAATTGGCAGGAACATTGGGTTACAAGAGGAATGTGATTAAGGGAATTATTAGAAAATTAGAGGATAATAAAGATATAAAAAAGGCACAAGGTCCTTCTAAATACACGAAATTTACATACAACAAACATTTAGGAGGAGTTATGAAAGAAATCACAAATATGAAGGGTGCAAAGATGGTCTTAAAAAGAGCCCCAAATTTATACAAAATACTTAGAAACGATAAAGGGGTAGTTAGAAAAGAAAATAAGGCGGGTGTGTACAAGATTCCCTACGAGAACCAGCTTTTAGGAATTAAGAAAGAATATGTAGGGGTTACAACTAGGAACCTAGGTTTAAGGATCAAAGAACACAAATATGATATCAGAAAATGTTCTAATGCGACAGTTTTGGCCCAGATGGCGCAGGCAGAAGGTTCATTGATACATTGGGATAAAGCCGAAATCCTGAAACAGATACACTCGCCGGCATTGGCAAGAACAGCTGAAAAGATAGAAATCTATAGAAGCAAACTTGAAGAAAAATGTATTAACGCAAGAGATGCGGAGGGTCTTCCTTCCGCTTGGAAGTTTGCGGTTAAAAGCTTAAAAAAAGCGCAGGAAATTTAGTATGAAATAATAAGCTCTATATAGTTAGGCAGACGATATTATTATTTAGTAATGATATTATGTTATTTATTTTGAATATTTGTATTATTTACAAGTATTATTTATTTTTATGTTATCGGTTTATTTGTATTTTTGAATATTTAAACGAGTAGTTCTATTTATGAAGTGTTCTATTTAGCCTGAGGATGATCCAATGAATGGATCGAAAACGTTTGTTTTAATTAAAAATAATCTCTCAGCGAAAAATAAGGTGTTAGATTACATATTTAAAAAAGATCCTTTAAAAATAAAAGTTCCTTAAAATAAAGAAGTCCACTGAAAACAATATGCATTTTCAAACATTTTTGAGACCAAATCTTATCTTCAGATCACTTGTCAAAAAATCAAAATCTTTTCTCTTTATAAAACCACTCTCTTCAACAAATGATCTGAAAGTGAAAATTGATCTTCAGTTCTTGACTGCTGACATCAGATACCTGTATATCTAGTATCAGAAATCAAGAGAAATTTATTTCTCTAATTATATGATTATAACACTTATGTGTTGTGGTGTTACAGGAGTGGAGTCTTGGAGAACGAACTTGTTCATTCTCCAAGACTCCACTCCCGTATGTAATGTCACTTCATGCCAACGTTTATTATATGCCACAACACAAGTGTTATAATCATATAATAAACGTTGGCATGAAGTAACATTGTATTAAATTCTTTAATTGAATTCTGACAATGAGCATACAAGCTGAAAGCATTTGCATTTTCTAAACAGTTAAACACATTCAGCAAAACCTTTAACACCCAGTAACGAAAATTTTAATGTAAAAACTAGCAATGCCACAAATATTTAGCCTATTCGGCTATTTTTTTAATATTTGGTATTCAGCGAATGTTGCATACTTTTCGGCGGGGGGAAAAAACCGCACATATTACTCAAAAACGTATTTATTTTAATCACAAATTATTACATTTAATACTTAAAATCTATCGGTGGTAAGTTGTGATGAATGAAAACAATTTTTTCAGCATTTGTTGATAGCAAACAATTGTGCTTTCCCTCAAACTATATCTGCTTCTGAAAATAGCCTCTCACTATATACACTACTGCCGGGATATGATAGATAAATCTTAGTGAATTCTGTCAGGCTTGGATACTGTTTTGCGTTTGCTGACCACCACTTGTAAAGGTCTGCCGTCCGATCTAGGCGAACAGTTTTCATATAAAGTGATACAAACAGTGATATTTTTTAGAAATAAAGACTATTAGTAACACAATTTGACGTAACAATGAACAAATAATGCATGTCGTGACACGATCTACTCACAAGTAAAATAAATGCTCCCGCGATGTCGCTACTGCACCCACCGTAATGAGACAGGTCATAATCTGTCACCCGCAAAACGTACACATATTTTCCGAACATTCGGCCACCGAATATTTGGCGCTTTGGCCAAAAGTGTAGCTGAATATTCGGTATTCGGCAAAATCACTATTCATGGCATCACTAGTAAAAACTTTGACAAACATTTTCAATCTTAAACAAGGTCTGCATAAGGTCAACAATGATATTCCAAATTTGTTTGTCAAAGATTTTACATTAAAATTTTCGTTATGGGATGTTACAGGTTTTGTTGAATGTAATATTTAGTAGGCCTAATTCATTCCAGTTATTGAGAAAAAAGTAATTTTATTCTAAAAAGTTTTTTCTCCAAGAAAAGCAATTTGAATAGGATTTATATTTATACTTTTATAAATCTGTTATATTTAAAAGTGTACATTTTAATGTATGATGTAAGTAAATGCATAAAAATTAATTTAATATCTCATATTTTTCACTATCTGTAATCTATAATAGTTTGGAAATGTCTGATAGTTTCTTATTTACTTATTACTGTCATTTTGTATTAGTTCCTTTTGTATTGGTGAATAATATAATCAATATTTTCATTTATTTTATTTTACTTAGAATCATTGGTTGATAAATAAATGGTATGTTTTTTTAATGTTATTTAGGGAAGATATTATGGTGACTAAGCTATGCCAGTACAAGATACAAATTTTGACTTTACAAAACAACAAAAAAAATCTCTCTGTACAAGATTTTGTCAAAAAGACATCACCATATGTATAAATAAATAAAATTTTGATTTATGAGAGATATTCTTGTGTGCACTGATCAGAAATTATGTATGTTCATAAATCAGGATCATACTGCATTTAAAAATACATATTAAATTCTACTAGTTTTATTATAAANTGTATTGGTGAATAATATAATCAATATTTTCATTTATTTTAATTTTACTTAGAATCATTGGTTGATAAATAAATGGTATGTTTTTTTAATGTTATTTAGGGAAGATATTATGGTGACTAAGCTATGCCAGTACAAGATACAAATTTTGACTTTACAAAACAACAAAAAAAATCTCTCTGTACAAGATTTTGTCAAAAAGACATCACCATATGTATAAATAAATAAAATTTTGATTTATGAGAGATATTCTTGTGTGCACTGATCAGAAATTATGTATGTTCATAAATCAGGATCATACTGCATTTAAAAATACATATTAAATTCTACTAGTTTTATTATAAAAAGACTACCAAACATTTTTCAATTTACAGAAAACTATATTTTCTTATTTACAGATTTCCAAATTCAATCCAACTTCTCATTTTAGTTTTATACCTCAAATGCTTCAGAGTTCAAATGCAAAATTTAACAAAAATTCATCTTGGAGTTCAAATGATGCTTCAAAGTTCAAACTCTGCATGCAGTGAAAAAACATGTTCAAAGCATAAATGCAATCTGTTGTGTGTCCAACTCTTCTCTCACTCTTGCATTATGCTTGTATGTTTTCAGTGCTTTTTTTTGCTTTATTTTTGGTGTGTTTGGTTATATATACTGTGCTGTGTGTTATTTATTGATTTTTAACAATTTCTTCCTGCAAGTTTTATTTGTCAACAGATTTAGGGCAACCCTTATGTTTTGTATCCTTTAGTTCAAAATTTCCCAAACAACTTTTTAAACCACATTTGACATGTTTAAAGTTTAGGAGCATTTTCCCCATACACATTACAATTGTTTTTACTGTTTGTACAGCATTATACCCTTTTCAAAAGTCAGAAAGAATAACACAGTATGCTTGATATGATTTTACCTGAAGATGTTTCATTTGAATAAAATCAAGTCATAATATGAAGTAAAGTAAAATAAGATTCTAAACAAGCAATAAAATCTCACATTATTTATAATGTGTTAAATTTCACAACTGTTATAATTTAATCACACATTTATGTTAAGATGCAGGAGTCCATCAGTGCATCCAATAAATGTAGTTTTTATTTTATTACACAATATTTATCTATTTTATTCATGTTTTAATTTATTACTAAGGCATTTAATTGTTTTATTTTTACCTTAAGTTATGTGCAATTTGATGTTTTAAGTTTATTGAAATGGATAGTGCTCAGAGTCTAGGAATGGATTAATTCACTTCCCATTATTTCTAATGGGAAAAATTGATTCAGACTTTGAATAATTTGGAGTTCAAACAACCTCCTGGAATGAATTAAATTTGAAGTACAAGGCACTACTGTACTTATATTTTTAAATGCATTTTTTTATTTCATATATTATATATATATATATATATATGAA